ACCATATAATATATGAAGTAATATATATGCGTCTGTGACAGTGTGCCTGGTCTCGGGCTATTTCAGGACTGCGGATAGAGTAATACCTTTAGACATGGAGGGGGCAGTCGCGGGCAGGCAGTGGAGAGACCACCGCGGCATGGGTCAGTTTGAGTTCGACAAGCTAGTTTCTTAGAAGAAAGTCACAATGCGCAATGCCAATCATCCATATATGGGTGTATGATCTACATACACAAAGTATATCATATGTTTCACCAACTGCTGGAAATACTGCATACTGTGTATCCCGTATAAAATAACGGAGATACTTTGTACTTGCTAACACCCACCGGCATATAAACCAATATTTTGATGTTCATGCAATGGTACGATGCGGAAGAAGCACCCCCTCTGAAGTATCACCCTTGACAAACAGGGTGTTGTTCTAACCAATATAATAATGCGACTTTGTCTAACGCTGCAAGTCCTCAAACACCACAGATTCAACGCTCACTTACGTAGCTCTTGGAAAAAATTACAAGATGAATATAGTACCCCGTGTAATCGTTAGCAAATGATTTGAGGTAGCAGGACACTTATTAAAGTGAGCATTGCATACAGCACGATGCAAACCGTGAATTGGTATCAGACTTATCAAAAAATTGCTTGCCAATATTTTAATATTCGTCATATGCGACCCCGGAACGCGTTGACTGTAATGAAGCATCAGGATGGAACGAATTGCACTGAAGGTAACAGACACATTGAAAAGTTCGAGTCACTACCTCAGCGTTTGAGAACGATTTGAATGACACAATCAGTGAAATTGATCCAACATGGCTTAAAATACAAATTGTCCACTTTTTCAACAAACCAGTGATTTAAACTCGATATAGATTTTCAGGTTTATTCTGGCGTTTCGGCTTCGTGCAAAGAAGTTTTTCTGTAGGAAAACGAAATGCCAAAATGAAGTTGAAAATCTACATCTGGTTTATGATCTTTGTTTAAAAAGGAAAAAATTTAAATTTTGTCGGTTATCATTGAAAACAAAATCTTCTATTTCAAGATATGGTACTTGGACGTTCAGAGCAAAAATCTCTGATTGTACAGTATTTCTTACCTTTCTCATACGGCATACATTTGGCATTGGTAACCAAACAGTCACTGTCTTCTGTACATGCATCCCCAATTCTTCTTGAAATTATGCACTGCCCATTTGAATAGACTCGGCCATGCGGGCAAGAGTGGGGGCAGCAGATCTCCTGAGAACTGCCAAATGCCGGGTCCGAGAAACAGAAATGAGTTTTTCGAGGACATGTCTTGTTGCACGGTAGGAGGCTGTCCTCTTCGCTCCCGCTTTTGTACTCCTCCCCCATGGGACAACGCTGAATGGGTTCTGGGCAACAGATACCTCTCACTAACGAAGAGGTTCGCGTCACTGCTTGCATGGGGACGCAGTAGGCGCCCTCGGGACAGTCGTCCATGTTAACGGTGAAGTCGCCTTGCAGAACGACTCCAAGCGTTGCGGCCTCTTCCTCTAGGTCAGTGGACTTCATAGAACATTCAGCTATTCGACCCTCACTCAGGACCGGATATCCGAATGTGCAGCCGTATGCTAAATCGGTGCGAAACCAAATTAAACAGATCACCGACACATCCGCAATGACTGACTTTTCGCCACGCATTTTCTGTCCTTAGCATCGAAGCCCTCCACACAGGTGCATTTGCCTTTTGTGCACTGCGCGAATGCCGTCCTGCACGGCAACGACGGGCCACAGGGCTTGTTCAACCCAACGGCTAGAAATTTCACATGATCGCAACACATCTGTCGTTCGCAAACGTCTCTCACCGAGGCGGCCACACGTATTGTTGTACTGTACAAACGGGCGTTTGCACTGGCAGCTGCCTTCGGTGCAGTGAGCATTCGCATCGCCACATTCTGCATCTGGTATTATGCATGGATCGCCGACTTTCAGCACTGCGAAAGCAAATAAACCGGTATAACGTGTAATACGTAAAAATGCTACAGCATTGATGGACCAACTGAAAATTTTACTCTGAAAAAAATTTCAGTTCTTTTGGACAGAAATAAAGATGGTCAATTTATAATCTGATGAGCCTATCATATTCCGCCGCAACTTTGTGTCAAATGAGCCATTTTGCTGCAGCTTCATGAGGCTCTTCATAAAACAGCCTCAGCGGTCCCTCACAGATAACTCGCAGCGACCGAATCCCTTGAGGGTGGTGCAGCGCATACTCTCACGTTGCCAAGGCATCTGTAGAGGAACGTCATGAATCTCGAAATGGTAACTAAAGTGGTGACAGAGCTCACTTGAAGATGTATTTCTGAATCCCTTTGAAGCAGAAGTTTCTGAGAGATGAACAGGAATACCTACCAGATTGCTGGTTGCAGCATATATATGAAATTGTATCGCTGTATCACCTATCGTTTGAAAAAGGAATGACTGCTTTCGAACTCTATTAAGCTTCTAACGGAATGAAGTTCGAATAACGATATAAAAAATGCAAAAAATATAATCCTTAATGCTTGGATATCAGAATCTGGGCGATCCGGACAACTGCTTAAGTCTGAACTTCTGTGTTATATCATCATGCCTTTGAGTCAACATGAGATTTGAATGAATCAACGAACCAAACACTGCATATTATAGTGCTAAGATAAAACCATCTGTGGATGCAGTTTTTAAATAGGCTTTTTTCGATTCACTGCTGATTGAAGGCTTCTCTAAGACATTGCCATAAGCTTCTGTTTTCTGTGATTCTTATCAATCTTGGTGATTCAGTAAACTTCTTCAGCTCATTCCGCCGTAACAAATGAAAACCTAAGTTAGATTGGTGCAAACTACACTCACGAAAGAATTAAAAAGGTAAAATGGTAAAGGTGGTTAAAGAAATATCGCGTAGGACTGCACTGTGCAGTTCTTCTGAGAATGCTGCTGAAGCTGCAGCGAATTTGTTGATGGACGGTGTCCCGCATTATGGTCATTATAATGGTTACAATTTGAACCAATGATACAAAAGAATCAGTATTACAGTAAAACTTAAGAAAATGGTGCAGGAGAGGATTTTCTGAGGACAAATACAACTGTATAGTAAGGTTGTCATTCAGTGCAAAAATTTAAGACTCAGTGCTGGTTCGAAGTGCTCATGACAAATGCTATCCTTTGTTCAGTGGAATGTCACCAATGTAAACTTTCAGACTACATTGCTGCACTGAATTTTCCATGACTTGTGTATTCAAACGATGCGACGGATGTAGTTTATTTCACTATTTCCTAATATCATTTCTCAGTCATTTTTCAAATATTCAGGTTGTCTTCCATTAAATGGATAGACTCAGAAAAAATATTTTACCCTGCCTTCGAATACCTCTTCGGAGGACTAGATTTCGCGATGAATTGCATCATG